CTGTTATATTTTCACACAATCTGGTTCATATGTAGAACTTTATTTTTATGTATATTTAACAGAAAAAAATTACAAAACTCTTTAAAAAGTAAAATGAAGCTGATTATAAGAGCAGCTTACTTGGTATCTGTTATCCTCAACTGACGCTGTGCCAAAGTATCGTTCTGAAAAAGCTGAAGCTGAAAAAGAAAAACAGATATAGATGTATATTAATAAATATTTAAAAAGGGTTCAAATATCAGTAAGTCAAACTATAATCACATCCCGTAGGCTTTCCTTCAGTAACTCTGAGGATTTATTTTTTGTCTTCAAACTCAGTAGATTGAATTCCCATAAGCACAGTTAAAGTGTAATTAAAGTCACATTACCCTTATAATAACTTTTGAAAAAAATATCCCAAGAGATAAAAGTTCAAAGAAGGAAATGAAGAGTTTGTGCAGGAGTCAAAGCAATACGTGTGTTTTTGCTCACCATACATGGTCCAGTCGATGATTGGAGCCTGAGCTGCTGCACACTTGATCAGTGTCTCTGACTTCAACATCATCAAGGTTAAATATCCACCGTAACCCTACAGAGAATGACTGGGAGTTAGAGGGCTCTGGTTTTACCTTTTTTAATTAAGAACTTATTCAAATGAGTTAACTTTTTATGGTTTTGGTAACGGTTTTTTGAGGCTTTCAAAGAAAAGAATAAAACCTTTGTGCATTAGAAAAGTATTCCTTTAACATTTTCATGTTTTGTCAGGTTATAATCCCAAACTGAATATAAATCCGTATTTTGACCAGGACTAACACATGAGTAAGTTTTAATCTGACATTTTCCATTATCGTTCTGACTGCATGGTTTAGGTCAGGGGCGTCAAACTCAGGGGACCAAATTTCAAAACTTGGTCCAAACCAAGGGCCAATTCCTGACAATATATTTTGGAAAAATTAATCTTGCTTTTAAATGTTATATAACAAATTATTCTTGCAGAAATACAAATTAGCTATTTCAAATGATAATTATAACAAACAAACTAAAGGATGAAGAAAAAAACCTTTAGAAATACTAATCTTTAGCAGTCATTTCTTATGCCTTACACACTATCAACAACTTTCGTTATTTCTCAGAGTTAAATTTTATCACTGTTCAAAAAAGAAGGTAAAGGACAAAAACCTTCAGTAAAAATCGAATTGTTTGACTCAATAATAAGAAAACAATAAAGACAACATAATTAAATTTGACTACTGTCAAGAGTAGACTGCACAGTGACAAAAAGAGAGATGACGAAACTATTTTATATTTAAAATATTATCTTTGGGGCCACATAAGATGTTAACGAGGGGCAGATGTGGCCAGCAAGCTTTAATTTGAAAGATGTGATTTGGGTCATACCTTTAGACTTTGAGAGCCTCTAACACACATATGTCAAACTCGAGGCCCGCAGGCCAAATGTGACATTGCTGCTGTATTTTATGTGACCCGTGAGAGCTTCACAAGTGTATTAGTGTCTTAAAACAAGTGTATGCTCTTTTTAAACCCAACAGCGATTCTGTGTTTGACTGCTCCACCAAGGCTGCATTGCCGAGCGCAGATCCACTGAGAAACTTGCTGTTTCAACAAGATTTTAAAAACTGGACTTTTGAGGTTAAAAAGAAATTTTAACAATAAATTTCAATAAATTACAAGTTAAGAAGGCATGGAATTGTGAATTTTCAGTATTGTTGCTCCTATATTATATATATATA